AAAGCTAAACAATATTGGGATCGAATAAGAGAGATGGTAAGTTTTTAGCTCGGTAAAGAAATAGAGGAATATGTTTTTTGTCTTGTCACGAGCATAGGACAAAGAAAAAATTCTGAGTCCTCATGAGGAATCGAACCTCAGACCTTCGGATTTCGCGCTGTGATGCTCTACCCCAGAGCCACAGAGACTCTACGGTGAGCGAGGTCTATTACGAAGTTCATATGACAGTCGTCCTGCATACTGTTAGGGATCAGCAATGTCGACAGCGTCATGTTTGTAAATAGAAGAAGAGAAAACTTACCATCTCTCTTATTCTATTTACAAACATGACGCTATCGACATTGCTGATCCTAGCAGTTTGCAGGACGCGTTTCATAGGAACCGGTGGCTGGCTGCACTGCCATCTTAACGCAAAAGGATGTGCCTCGGCGCGCGATAAATGCAACCTTGACCCACATTGTTGTCCGGGAAGGAGAGGTCCAGCGTCTGCGGGGCCTAATGCATTTCCAGGTGAGATACTTGAATTAAAAATTAAGTGAAAAAAAAAATTAGAAAGGATATGAACATGTACTGATTATTCGTTTTCGTTTCAGAGAGCCAAAACAGGCTGGATTCTAGAAGAAAAAAGTGTGTTCTCCTTCCGCTGGAGGGGAGAAAAGTGAAGCGATATCAGGGGGTCACACCTGGTTAGCACCGAGTATAGGTGCCCGAATAGAAGCAGGTGGAGGGCACATCTGAGATCTGCGGGACTGTCCTTGGGGCTGGTGTCTGCAATGAACTCAGTGGTGGTGGGAAATTTAGCTAAATGTATTTTACGACAACTATCAATTGCATATTTTCACATACGAGTTTAAACTTAAACTTTTAACCTGAAATCCTTTAAATATAATTTGAACTTTATCATGTTTCACCATAGGTCATTAATTACTTTGCGCTTTATGTCTGTAGGATAGTATTGATGCCTGATTCCTGCGAAGAGAAGGTGTTTCCTTTTGCGGCGAAGGAAATCAGTGAGAGAGAAGTCGCCGCAAATGTCCCACTCTCCGAAATGGGTGAAATGGACCCAGAAGACTTGATGGTTGTCAAGTTTGTCTTGAAGTACTATTTTTTGAAAGAGGATAAGTAATGTAATAGTGTAGTTTGATCGTCCGCGTGAGTTTAGTCCTGAGAAGGACTGTTGTTGGTAATGGTGAGTCACCACTACCGACAACAGTCCTTCTCAGGACTACACTCACCCGGACGATCAAACTACACTATTACATGTTACCCCCGGGTTCAAACCATTTACAGGATAAGTAATGTTCTATGTAATAACTAGGAGAGGCAACTAGGTCGAGAATAAAAATGCAAATAATCAAAATCAGTCAGGCAAATATAAAGGATCGTCGGCGGTGTTATAGGCAGAGAACAATTTAAAAGTTAAATCTAAGAAATGTTGTCATGTCAGTATTAAGAAAAATTATTCATCACACAGTTCGGAGTGTTGCAATGACAGGAAATAGAGATTTTTGTTCGGTTCGCTCCAATGTTTTTTATCCTCCCTAAAATGGCGGAAATTTGAATCCGAATTTCTGTTCCCCACTACAGATGCTAGGCTCTTATTACATCGTGCGAAATAAGGCGACTGAGGGCGTTTTGCATTTACCAAAATGTAAGAACATTTTGGTAAATGTTCCGATTTTGGTAAAATGTAACTTTGAGCAGTTCGTTAACTTCAGCGTGTTTCACGTAATATTGAATGATTAGATTAATACCTTTTTTCCCCGTCATCTGAATTGTCTCAGTCTAATGTTTGATAACATAACCAAAGGCATCCCACCCAGAATGAAGGCGTATCACCAACTGAGTCTGACACGAGTTTGAATTTGTTATAACCTTACGGCCCAGTAGAAAACATGAATGAAATGGGTCACTTTATGACTTGGTTAGGTGTATTGTGTTTTAATTGTTGTGATTTAATAAACAAAGACTTGTTTCTCCCTGAGAGTTTTAAATCGCACCATCATCATCTGTACCTGAAAAAAAAAGCACGTTTCCCAACATCACATGAATAAGTTTTTTTGTTAACGGACTTCTTCTTGTTATAATTTCTCGTAAATTTCTTCCGACGCGTTTCGTCTCTAGCTGAGACTTCTTTAGGGAATGATTAAAACTAATATTGGACAGTATATAAACACATTCATGCGCATCAGTTTAACTTCCCACGGAAGTGAATAATAACTGAAACACGCTGTGAACAGATGTTACAGGAAACGCCCCAATTTGTTGCGGATTATTATATTTTGGGGGCCATACGATTAGCGCTAACTGTTGCGAATCAATAAACGAAGACTTTGTTTCTTCACAAGTTTTTTGCTTAATAAAGATAAAATGACTGTTTAGATCAACAGATTTGATCTGATAAATTTGCCACAGTTAGAAATACAAAAGGCTAGCCTTGACGTTTTCGTAGTTCTGCCGGTAGCCAATTTGCCAGTCAGGTCAATCAGCTAAGTCTTTTCCCATCCATACTAATAATGTATGCTTTCCATTAAGGTATGTTTTAAGTAACGCCCGTTTCTTTATTGTAATTTCACCACCGTCGACAAAGGTTTGTTTACGGGCGTCCATATTTTGATACGCGGCAAAGGTCAAAAACGCGGGTTTAGGGAGTTATAGGACAGACGCACTGACCTACATATATATTTCCGTCCCAAAGGAGGTTACATAACAACCTTATGTTTTTATAACCAAAACCTAACTTTTTAGAAATCAGAGAAATAACTAGGTCAATATCTGTTTTTTTTTTCTATTGTGGAGGCAAATATACTTCGTCCATTATAACAAAGGGTGAAAAAATTACACTTACCTTGCGCGAGGCTCTGATCAGCTGTTATATTTTGTTGAGAGAGTCGCAAGTATAAACAATAGGCTGTTATATTGTATTATAAAATGCTTAGAGAAATGCGCGCGCAGTGATTGGTCAGAACGAGTACATAATATCTCCATAAAGCACACGGCTTACGTCACACGAGTGCACTGTTGTGATATAATGCACGCAGCCTACGTCACCGATACGAGCGCGCGCAATTCACGATACATTTTACAAAAGAAAAAAAGACTTGTTCCTCGAGCATTGTTGAGTTGTATTAGCACTTGGGAATTTTTAAGAACATTCGAGAAGTGCATTTCTCTCGTGTTCTTAAAAATTCCCGCGTGCTTATACAACTCAACAATGCACTTGGCGCGTTTTTTATTTATTTAATATCACGCTTACCTTGCACTAGGGAATAATTAAGTTGCTTTTGTTCAAAATGAGCTCACACTGTGGTGTTTTATTCCTTTGTTTTCAACAACCGTGTGAAAAAGAAGTAACGTATATTAGTGTGATGTATCCTCAGTTAGGAAGTGAGAACCTCGCAGAATCATCGAGATTTAGAACTGTATTCGCAAGCGCTGTCTAACTAAACTACAAAGGAAAAGAGAAAAAAAACATGGCCTTACGTTGGTATGCCGCCTTAGAGCAAGGTCCCCCGGTGAATTTTATACAATGGCTCTCGAACAAGAACCTTTTAGTCAATCAATTAAGATGCGCCCAATGTAACCTTGCTAAAATTTTAACCTTTAATCTCAAGAACCATCACCCCATTGGGACCCTCCTTATTTGGTACATCTTTTGTACTTTATTTCATTAATAAAAGGGCTGAGACAAATGTACTTCGTATTTCATCAAACAACAATAACGTAAGGAAAGAGGCGCTTTTCTGAAATAAACTGTAAGGGAGCTTACTATCGATTACTAACTTTAGTGCCTCTTTTGTCGTGGGTGTGTATTGGCACGAACGCCCTTTAATCCTTTTCTTTTTCATCTAATATTGTAACAACTTTCATATTATTTAATTTATGACCAAAGTTGAAACCGGCCATTTCAATATGTCCAAAAGTGATAAAGGGTCTTTTCTTTTCAACACTGCACAGGCGCTGCAGAGGATGCAGAGAAAGAAGTGCGAGATCAAACAGTTTTTTCGAGGAGTTCCCCAGAGTGCTACTTGGTAAACTCCTGCTGACGGTGTATTCTTTTCTCTGCCGAGGACTCTAAGCGACGAATTTCCAGGCACCTTGGTTTGAATGTAAGCTAGATAAGCAAGATTTGTGGGCGCTTACAGGATGTCTGCTCGAGAGACCTCCAGGCCAGGCTAATCACGCCCTTTGTTGGACCTGGGACTGTGAAAAAAATTATTGTAATCGTTACAAGATTAAATGAGTTTTAAAAAGATCATTTTTTTTTGTTCTATATTATCTCGTTGTTTTAGTATATACTAGAACTACTTACAAAGTCTTGATCCTCTGGAATATGTTGTTCGAAAGCGAAATAGATGGGAATGTGACAACCAAAAGGACTCGGATCGTTCTAATATAGCAATTAGTTCATACAGGTGAATGATAATCGCACACAGCTGGGATAAAGCCTGAGACAGACATTAAAAGGACAAAAATTATCCAGATAAATATCATTCATTTCATTATTCCAGGTAGTGGAAAGACGGGATATGACCGCTCTCCATATCATTTCAAGGTGTGTTCGCCCTGGAACGGAAGTGCACTCAGATGACTGGGCCTCTTACCGACAGATGGACCGAAGAGTAGACAACGTAAGCGCACAACAAGTAGTGGTCCACTGACTCAACTTCGTGAATCCAGTCACTGGGGTGCACACCTAAGAAATCGAGTCCTACTAAAACAGTTGAACATTGGGCCAGAAAACACGCCGGGGGATAAGAAGGGAAGACATGCTGTCCTACCACGACGAGCAAATGTGGCGTCAGTGGAGAGCGGGAACACCTAAGCAAGCCATGTAGAACTTTTTGGCCGTGGAACGCATATCGATATTTAGTTAATAATCCGTTCTTCTAAATACGCAACATCCTTTTTAAGTTTCTATCAGTTTTACTTTGAATTTCGGTAACGATAAGAACGAAAAACAATCAAGCTACATCCATGACTTCGTTGAATAGATTTTCGTATGTTAAGTGTACTGTCCACACTGGTCCAAGAAGATTTTCTATCGAAAAGAAGAATTTTTAATGCGATTTTAACTCAAGTTTTACCTCATTTTGAATACTGATCTTTTCGAATTCGCGGATGAGGAGGGCTTTACGAATGACCTGGATGCATTGAGTTTTTTGCCGTAGATGATCATTATAATAATATTTGGTAAAACAATTCATTTATTTTCATGCGTGGAAACAACACTTTTGTTGCGTTGTGAGAGCGCAATGACGTTTTTCAAAGCAACCGCGAAGTGTGGTCGGGGCCTTAATGTTGGAAGTAAAATTAATGCCAGTGGTTTAACGCGCATCAATCACAGTGTGAAAAAATAAAACGTGATTGAAGAGTTCAAAAGATCGGTGATTCAGTTGTAATTATGACTAATAAAGTTTTAGAATTATTCTACGATATGAATGTTGTTGTACCAATGGCTGAATATTTTTCGTGGCGGTGTTTATGGTCCAAAAAAAAAAAAGAAAGAAAGAAAGAAAAGCCAAAACATTGACTCGAACAATTAACGGTATGACAATATCAGGGGCTTTTTTCTTGAGCTGTTTCATGTGAAATGATGAAAACCCTTCCAAAAAATTACAGTTAAAGCTTAAAGTAATATCTCAATGCGAATTGTTGAATCTGACCCTGCTAAGTGTTGAAGAGAAAGCCGGAACGCGCGCGAGCGAAGAGAAAGGCGTCCCTATCTTGGAGCAAGAGAAACGCTTCAACGAAAAACGTTAGAATAGGATAATTTATCTATTCAATACATTTCCCCCACTTCCTAGCAAAGAATTACGATGTCGAGCTCGGTTTCCCAGGAACAAATATTGATCCACGAAGTTCATACATGACACGCGTCCTGTATAGCTGAGATCAACAATTTCGATCGTGTCATGTTTGTAAATAGTATAAGAAACATGGTAAATGTTTAGCTCGGTAGTAAATTTTTTTTTTGCTAAATTAGTTTGACCATAATATATAGATTTAGCCAAGCCTAAAAGCAGAGCTCGCGTTTTTTTCCCCGCATGTTAGTGACAAAAGGGATCTGATCAAAGGACAAAAACAAAAGACAAGAAATCATTACTTACACAGTGAGTTCTGATGATTATTTTTTCTTAACCTGTGATCATACACTGTAACTAAAGTAGTTGAGATGATTGGTTTGGCCTGGGTTTACACTAGAATGGCTCTCAGGAGTAATGCAGTCACTATACGATAATATTTCATATTAATTTTAGTACCTGATGCACCATTCCAACACCTGGTCCCATATGTGATACTAACTCTGTCAGAGTGCCCTGGTGGACTAAACAGTAATTATCACATGGTTAATGGAACTGATGTGGAGTGCAGAATGGAAATGCTTTGAATAATATCATTCCTAAAATCATGGCATTAAGAGAGAGTGAAAATTCAAAAAGGCGAAAAAAAAAATCCATATCATGCGCACCATGTTTATTTGACATTAACAAATAGCAAAATATCCAAGGCTGCAGCCTAATGGGCTCCCAGTTGCCAGAGGCTCTACGATTTGCTCACAGGCGACTAAAATTTTAAACCAGGAGCCCACAAGGGCACCTAAAACTTATAGTTCTTAAGGTAGTAGCCTCTATGCCTACTTCCAGTGAAGGAATGACAGAATTCACTGTGCATTTTGCGCTTTTGCGCTTTTGAAATGAAAATGTAAAATGTGTGTTTGTCGACCATTGGCAAAACATTTCCACTGATAAAAGTAAACAGACAAGCACTTTCCTAGAAATTCGCAACTTGAACGAATTTGTTTTGAGATGCCTGAATCAAGTTTTGAGCATCCGCTTACTTATTTAAGTTTATCGATCAATTGGCTACTAAAAATACGACTCAGGCTCTGGACTTTTTATTTGGGGCTGCCAAAAAATTTTCTTAAGCGGCAGCCTTGACATCATTGTGAAACTAATAGTCATCAATCTGACCATGATAATGGTAATGTCCATGAGCAACCACACTAAAATGACAAAATGTTTACTTTAAAGTACTATAGTTGGAACCTCCCTCAAGCAACCTTGACTCGTTGCTGACTGCGACATTTTTTTGGTTTGATGATGTTGTTGTTTCTTTTTGCCTCCTAAGGGACCAATTGATGCATGCTAAGTTGCTCTACCAGCACAAGTCAAACAATGCAACAATGCTCAAGCCCTGATACCTAAATGCCTTTTTCTTTTTTTTTATTACAAGATTTTTTCTTGATATCAGAAGGCTGTTGTATGTACTAGACAACTCAATGTATACAAGGCAGTTTTATTGATGGCATGCACTGCTTGAGTGTAAGTAAGAAATTGCTCACAATAATGTCTCTATGAAACTAATAACCAAAGGTTAAGGAGTGCAGGCGACAATGATCGAAGGTCCAAATGCTTTTGCTCCAACACTGTGCTCTGTGTAAGTTTCATGTGACCAGGGTTTGAGCGAGGATTTGATCACTGGGGGATAATTTGCCCCCTTGGCTAAAATTTTTGGGGAAATTTTTATTTTCAGGGGGACAGACAAAATAATTTTTATTCAACATTTTTTTTTTTTTACATTCTTACCGGCAAGCCAACAAAAACATTTTTTTTCCTGATCCTTGTAATACAAGAAAAGTGATACAAACAAGAAAAGTTAAGTTATTAGTGTCGAGACTTTTTTCCCCGTCATATTTAAAAAGAGGATCTATGACTATGCTTTAAACTTCAAAACATTTCACAGCAAAATCTTGTCCCGGCATCCCCTTGTAAACTTCAATTCCTTTCTTAATTACTGGTAGACGTACGCCTCCTTTCCATAGCGCAACCATGTATGATCTCGCAACCAAGTTTTCAAGCTTTCGAGTTTTTTCCCTAAATTTTGAAGGAGACAAATTGTCCCCTTGGCTGTTTTTTAAGGGACAATTTCAATTGCAGTGTGGGATTGGCGCAATGGTGCAGCCTGGCTCAAACCCTGTGTGACAGATGGTCAAAACCCACGTGATCAGATTACGAGGGGTAGAAGGTCGAAACACAGGCAATCAAATTGCATTTTTTGCTTTTCATTCATTCTTAGTGGAAGTCCAAGCGAATGCTGAATACATACATGTGACCAGCGCCGTAGCTAGTATGCTGCAAATCGCATTTCCGAGAGACTAAAGTTCAAAATTTCTCGGGGGGGGGGGGCATGCCCCTGAACCCCCCTAGCAACTCCCGCCTGCCTCGGTTGGCCGTTTGGTCTGGCTACGGCACTGGTGACGCATGCATAATAACAACTTGGAGATTAGGATTGCAGGTGACAAGAGGAACCTGCAATAATAAAGGTGATTTTTGATAAAATAGTCCTGTTCTCCCTTGTGGCCAAACTCTTGTAAGTGAGCACCTCCTGACTATGTAATGTAAATAACTGCTGAGTCTTGACACTTTGAGGGGTTGCATAAGTGAGGTTTGATTGTATTCTTGTTCACAAAGTTAAATTACCTCTAATATTACTGTCACAAATCCACAGAAGGTTATATTTTGCTGCTTTGTAACCTTGGTTCATGTTATTTATCTTTGGATTTACTCCAATTGTCTTAGCAGCTGCCAAAGGAAAAAGCAATTGATTATAGCATTAAAATTTAAGAGCAAGCATATATTTGGTACAGTGTATCAGTTTTACTTTTGGCTCTCAACCAGTTTCTTAGAACTTATTCAGTTAGATAAGAAACACTCCAGGGAAAATTCTATAAATCTAGTTGTATCAGGGTGCAAAGAAAGTCATTTTTACAGCTTGCCATTCAGGCAAGCTGAAGCAACCATTTACTAGCCCAATTGTCATCTCAACTAGCCCCCCAAATTTTTTGATGAGCAGAATTGATTTCACAGTTCTTTTGTAAGTTGAATTCCTCAAAATACTTCACTTGCCCATCAGACAAGCTAAGAGCAGAATTCACTAGCCTGATAGCAAACTCCACTGGCCCTGGGCTATCGGACACTACTTTCTTTGCACGCTGATGTATCCTGATGTTTTAACAACTTATCTATTAATAATACCATATTTATTTTAACTTTCCTACTCAAATAATAAATCCCCGCACGTTACAAGGAACAACTTTCAGTGTGGAAGAAATCACCAAAATTGTGTCCCTCTTTTAATAAGTCATTGCTATCCATTGAGCATTAATTTGCCCTTTTTAGTGGAAAAAAAGGCACAATAGCATGTCGCTAAGGAACAGCTAGGCAGGTTTATTTATTAGCTCTGCTGGATTTTGACTAAACTGCACCTTCAAAATTACCCCATGTCTTTTAGTTTTCTGGCAATGTGAGCCAAAAGTAGCCTGATTCTCAGATGTCAGAGGTCAGCTCTGTCCCAAAGGGGCAGCAAACGACCTCAGACGTCTGAGAATCAGGCTAAGCCAAATGTAGCTCATTTAGAGCTGGTGAAATTCTCCAGCAGCCAGCAGGGCCCAGCTACATCTCAGATGGGAAAAAGGTTTTACGTGACTAATCTGACGCTCCTGTCAAGCTGTTTAATTGTAAATCAAGCAACACATTTGACGGTCCTTATGCACACAATCTTTTAATTACTTTTTACACTACTTACTGTAATTATATCAAGGGTTTCAATAAAATTTTAAAGCAGGCAGATCGTTTCAGTAGACTAACCGACAGTATCCAAAAAAAAAAATTCAAAGTGTCTTTTATTAGTCACCTTATGAAAGGAAAAAAGCAGCTACCTTCTCTGAGCAAAATAGCCAACACTTTTTGTTTGCTGTCATTGCTTATTGAAAAGCCATTGTCTCCTTATCAATAAAGAAGTTGAGAAATGTCCAGATCTGCTAGTTGCCCTACTTAAACTATAAGAATGTTGTTGCATTAATAAACACAGTTGTCAAAAGTAGCTGGCAGCTGACGAAAATCACTACGAAGTACTCCACGGTTTGGGCTGGTTTCTCTACAGAGCTCTTCCTCTCATTATTTAGTGAAAGATGGCAAAATCAGTTATCTGGCCCAAAAATAAAGCTGCCTACTTAAAATCAAGAACCCTGATTGGTTTTCAATGCCAAAAATTATACTAAACATAAACAAGTTATAAATATAGAATAGATAAATAAGGCAATTTTAAAATTAGACCACCTCTGGTTAGATGTCCAAATTTCATGTTTCAAAAAAAAAAAAGAAAAAAAAAAGAAAAAGTGCGTTGAAAATAATATAAATGTTCCCTTGCATGATTGTATGCAAAAAAAAAGTGTTTCATTTCAAGAGTAGATTTCATAACCATAAGTTGGATGCATGCCACATATTCATTAGGGAGCTTACACAACAACAAGGGGGAAAGCAGGGAAAACGTCACTTAAAAAGTAAATTCATGCTGTTTCAAACTTCATTGCCGTTACTTTCTATCCTCTAATTTGTCAATTTATTACCACCCAGAATACATGACCATAATATGTTAACTCTCCATTAGACATGGATGTGCTGTGGTTCAATTGCTTGTCCTTGGTTCAAATTTTGTTTTCTTTTTTCTTTGTCAAATTCATTTTCATAATTATATAACCATGTTACCAAAGAACAAAGGAAAATAAAATTCAAGCCAAAGACAAAACTAAAACACAAGATGTGTTAGCTTATTGCATGGTCTATGCTAATTTCATTAAAAGAAAACTTAAGGACATTTAAAATATATAAAACTGATATATGGTATTATTTGAAAAAGAGTGTAACTATGTACTGCTTTCAAGAATAAAAAATGTCCCAAATAAGTTCAGGCTGAAGAACAAAATAATACAAAGAACATGGTAGTAACATGTGAAAGTTTCTATTTTCATCACTTGCAAAGACAGTTTTCTACAAATGGAACAGTAAACCACACAAACAAAGCATAATAAGCAATAATTCAAATGGTAATTTTTGAGAACTGAGTAAAATTTGCATAATTTGTATCAATCTACCATCTGTTACAACATGAAAGATAATCCCTACACACAAACTGATCCACTTATTTATAAAAATAAAATACATTTCCTTCCTTGTAAGCTCTACTTATATCAAAATAAAAATAAAATGTTATTAGAATTAAAATTCAATGTTATTGTCATATTTTTCTCACTGTGTGGTCTTATTAATACTATCAGCAGTTACTAAGGTATCTACAAAGTAATCCAACGGCAGACATAACTGTTGTGAAAAATAAAACCAACAGCTAGATTGTTCACATTTACGATAAAAAGAGGTTGGAGAATTGGCACCCAGTTAATTATTGCCGGTGAATATTTCATAAACTGTCACAAAGATGAACAAAATAACTATCTCTGCAACAAAAGCTGTAATTTCCATGGATTTAAAATAGATAAATTAATGCTTTTACATATAAAATAATATTGCTAGAAATTGCTTCCATATGCTAGCATATAATTTACTACTATCATTTAAATATCCGTCTTGTTTTTAGTCAGCATATTGAAGTATTTGTTTAAGAATGAATGAAATTCCGATTTACCCAAGGGAGTTTTAAAAGTATACACATGCATACTTTAAGGGCAAAGTTTCCGCACAGCCCCATACTTCATTATGCATACAGTCCTTTATTAGAAGAAAACAATAGCGCAAACAATAGATTACCTTTGGGACTATTCGCTTTGTTTTCAAGAAGTTGAATTTTTTTTAAGTCTTTACTCAAAATTGTACAAAGAATTTAGCGTAATTCACGCTTGACGTAGCATACGCCAAAATGTTTACCACAATTTCGATTCTACTGCATAAAAATGAGATTCCCGTAAAAATATAGGAGAACAGGAAAAAAAAAGGAAAAGGAAGGTGTGACCTTATGTCATTTCGCTGCTTACCAAGGATGGGAAAAAATTATGAGCGAATGATAACGATATATAGAGAAAACGTTCTTACCTTAGGGTAATTTAGTTCAAAAAATGTTTGGAGATTTTTTATAAGATTCGGTTCTTCCCCAATCAGAGGCTGAAAATTAAGAAGGGCAGAAAACTGAATGAGATGAATAGTTCTCAAACACCAACTTGCAAAATTACAAATGACAATACCAAATTAAACAAGCCCTGCAGGGGAAGCATTGTCACAATTTAGGATTAAATTAGGCAGCTCGATCGTAAACATGCATTTTTAAACAAGCTCTAACCTTCAAAATTGAAACTCCCGGTAAATTTTTATTGTTAGCAACGGCGACCGACTTGTGGAGGTAAATTTTTCTAAACAAAGAAAACAATGACAATAGAGGAGATTGTTATTTCAGAGTGCACGCTTGCATATCAGTTGCTTAGAAAGAAACGCAAAGCCATGAAATTAATGAAAAGCGAACAACAAACATTTTACGACTACTTAACGCCAAACTACTTACCCAGTAGCTATAGATATTAACTGAAATAATGCCAACACTATCCATAGTAAAATAAAGAACATTGCCAAGAGGGGTGCTAGGGCGGATCCACAAATTTTAGAAAGAGGGGTACTAGCATGTTACATAGATACCATCATTTTATTCGCTGGTGACAGAACTCTGAGACTATCTGTACATCTGTGTCCAAAAAATTGAGCTTAAGAAGACAGATTCAGCCGAAAATTCGTTTAACACAGTTTCAGTTAAGAAAGAGAAGAAGGCCCCTCCCCCGCTGAAGCCACTAGCTTTGTTACTCTTATATCAAATATGAATACAGTCAACTCTAGCTTAGTGGACACCCCCCTGGGGGAGACTCCGCATATGAAAGGGGTGGGGATGCTCGTCGGAAATTTTGAATTAAACCCCCAAAGGAGACCGATCTGGGCGTGGCCCAAGCTCTTTTTGACCCCTAAGAGACCATGTTAACACAGACAATATATATATTTTTATTTTTTTTGGCGTGCAACCCTTCACGGCTAAATATGATGGCGTTTTACCCAGAACACCCTAACGGAGACCAAAATCCAAAATTTACACCCCTAAGCGAGACGACGAGCATCCCCACCACTTTCATATGTGGAATACCCCCCCCCCCCCCCCCCCCCCCCCCCCCCCCCCCCCCCCCCCCCCCCCCAGATCGAAACCTCTAAGATGGACAACTCCCACAGACACACACCTGGTGTTGGTCCCTGCCTTTTTTCAGTCATTCTACTGCAATAAATTATACTGTCTACAAGATGGATCCCTCTATAAGAAGGACAACGGACACTTTTGAAACTGTCAACGGACAAAAATACCTCAAAATTGAAATGTAGGGGCTCTAAATGACAGTAAATTGCAAATATTTGATGTGTTATAGTTTTGCTTCAGTTTATAGAGTCTATACTGTTACGCTTTTAGACCTTGAAGTTGTGAACGTTTGTTTGAAATGAACGTTTGATTGCACAGTGAGAAAATAATTCCACTTTTCTGTTATAATTCTGTTCCAATTTGTGTGGTTTTGTACAAGATAAACAGACGTGTATACATTGCAAATAGCTTCAGCTTAAAAAATAAAGGTGTCAAGATACCTCGACTCTCTATAAGACAGACACCTCTCTAAGACGGACAGCAGGGCTGGTCCAGGTCCCGAAGGTGTCTGTCTTGGAGAGAGATGACTGTAATACACTACGATGATCCAAATATCGTGGGAAATAAGTAATGAAAAATTTAAGTCGCAGATAAACTGACTAAGTTAGTTCATAACTGGAGAATCGATAAGCCATGCATATTGTAAGAAACCACGATAAGATTACACAATGAAAACGAAAAATAAAAAACATGAAGTTGAAATTTCTCTCTTTAACTTTAATTACAAACTACTTATACATTATTCCTCAGTGACAAATCATTATAATGTGCCACATTCCTCATGGCTGAAGGTAATGCAAGTAATTAACCATAGACCCAAGGAAACTCGTTGTTTCAATGCAAAGTAGTTTTGATACATGTTGTTGAGATACAAACTTAACAAATTAACTTGTATGAACAAGAAAAATGTATGGCACAAAATTAATATTCAAGTATGCAAAACTGTTTTCACCCAGACTGAATCAAGATAACAATCAAAACAACCAATCAAAAGTACATTGTTCCAAAATGACGCAGTAAACTAATGCACTACAGTGGCTATTACAGTCCTTCAGGTTAAGTACAACATCAACTCTCTGGCTAAAACAAGGTATATTTGTTTGGCAACTCGGCCTTGCAGTGGTTGGGGGGAGGGGGGAGAGCTCTGCACCCATCTCCTGTATCAGTTTCAACTATGTTTGCAATATTACTTCACTCAAACAAAATTTTCTGCCTCATTTAACATGTAAATGAAAAATATCAAACACACTAGCTTCCTCTCAATGAGAGTTTGGGCTGCCTGTGGAATAACATTGTTTAGGAGTCGAAAGGTAGGGGAGGATTCAGAGCATAATTAATCTTTCTTTACAATAGTTTTGTATTACTTTTTGCTATTTTCCATTACTGCAATTAGTTATTTCCATTTTCATTATTTTTCATTAATTTTCTTTCTCCAAGGCATCCTGTATATCAGGATCTTTAATAACAATTTTCTGCCCTGGCTCAAAATAAAACTTCAACGTTTGTTCACTAGCTAGTCCTTTTTCCAGTGAACTTATTATATCTTCTATTATTTTACACATGGCTTCATATACACTGCTGATAAATTTGTTTTCTCCCTCTTCATTTTCATCTTCAGGTCGAGAATCTAAAGGATAGCACAAAGCATTTTGATTCTCGTTAAAATAATTGGGAAGGAACCTGTTTTGAATTGCAGACAAAAGCTTTTGAAAGATTGTTAAAAGGTGTGTTGATAGTTCATCTGTCCTCCAAAACTTTGAATCTGGGAATTGTTCACATTCATAAAGAAATAAAGTTTTCAAGGCATATGTTTTTAAAAATGCCTCTCCAAGCTGGTTGACTGGTGTGACAAGATTGCGGATTATTTTCAGCAGCCTATAGCACACATTGCTTGCATCATTCTCTTTGAACCAAAAACAGATGATCTTATTTTCTAGAACACTACATGTTTGCTTCCATGTGTCATCTAACATGCGACAATACAACAATTCATGACTGGCATCAGCACATAAACCAGCTTTTACTATCAGATGTTCACTTGGTAATCGTTTGTCAAGATTGCAAAATGATGGTAGGCCCCTCATAGCAATTACATAGGTCACATCAACAGATATGTTAAGGTTAGGGTAGTATACTCCTTTCCAGTTGAGTAAAAGTGTAAGAGCTGGTCCAGAGAACTTAAAGTTGGCCAGAAATTCTTCCCCTCCTTCAAATCTCCTTCTTACAGATTTCTGTGATGTGGTAAGTGAGATGCCATCTGGCAATGACATCGTTGCTAAGCAACTGCAAACAGCATTACGGTATTCACTGTCAATTGTTGCTTGTAATAATGTCTGTTTATTGGCAGCATCCTCTTCCCATTCCAACACACTCTGCGGATTCCAATTCAATTTTGTGTTGTCAATCCCTAGAGAAACCAAATGTGTGTACTCTGGATCTTCAAATGGCTTACAAGAGCACACACCTGGCTGAGAAAACTTGTTTAAAACCAACAGGAAATCAAATTCATCTGGTGCATTGATTTTACTGTTGTGATAAAAACTGCCACAATGGACAACAGAGTTAGAAAGGATGGGATTCAATTCCCCTATCCTATTTGAAATCTGATGAACGATTCCCTCTATTTTAGATTTTATCAGTTGCACTTCATCATTTTTGTAGTCCACACTGTGAAGTCTGTCTAGTTTTATCAGTGTGTCTTCAACATTGGAAGCCATCCTGTTTCAGTTTTCATTTACTCTAGATTCCGATCAGGTATGATTAAAACGTTCCACAGTAATGGACTGCCCAGGTATCACCGAGATAATCAAACTTGGTCACCCAAACACGGCAGTTGACAAGTTATTCTCGATTGCTGATAAGGGAAGTGAGTCGAAGTCACATTTGCTAAACTGCAAAGACACAACTGATTCTCAACTTGCCAGATTCCCCCTAAGAGAGAAACTTAAAGTCATCTCCAATGATGTCGAACAAACTTATTGGCGCGCAGGACTCTCTCAAAATTTATGGCGTCTATGCGCCTGCGAGGCAGTGGACAGCGGGTAGTTTGTTTTAGGTAGATACGTAGTGTATGACGACACCCACAAGAGATGAGCAAATGAGCATCTTTGCTTTACATCACGAATTCGCAAATTTATTTGCAATTTTCCTCTGATCGCTGTAATATGGAGTGGGAAAGCAAATTTTCTTCAATCGTACGTGAAACAGAGACGAATTTAGCGAGAGTTCGGGTAAGAACAGCTAAAGGATGCGGATCGCGGTCACACATTCCTCCACAGTAAAAATAACGCAAGCGACGTCTTCGTGAGAAACGAAACTTTATGTAAACTCGATTTATTTTTCTCCTAGCAAGCATCTACATCTGATAAATTTGTCAACCCGTAATTCTTTACATTTCTTTTAAACCTCTGGATTTCATTTTAATGTATTTACTTTAGGACCGCCTGGGTTCTTTAAGCAAAACAAAAGAATCGGGTCGGTCAAGGGGAAACCATTTTGGCGGTAAGTGTCTTGTTTGTTAATCGACCGTTAAATTGAGAGTTAGGTCATTTCGATTCTATAAATTATCAAAGCTTACTCCTTAATCTTAGGCCTGTAAGTCATTTTAACGATTTATAGGGCATAGCCAGAAATTAGTGCATCGTTGGAATGCTTTTTTTCAATTAATTGCGTTGGATAAAATTATGCCAGGTATTTTATTGAAAAAGGGCGATATTTTTTGCACCGTAAGTGTGTTTACACAAACTTAATATTGTGAAAAACTACAACTCTTAAGATCCCGAACCGTGAAACCAAGGTCGTGACCTTAAAAAGGACAAACCACAGTGGGTGACTTGATAAACCTATCATCGTATAGTAATGGTAAGTAACAAACCCTGTGGGGTGCTTACAACTTCAGAGATTCCAACCCTCCCGATTTGATCGGGAGTCTCCCGATTTGATGTCTTGCCTCCCGCTCTCCCGATTTTTACCAAATTCTCCCGATTTATCATAAAATTCTGAAAACTGGGGGAAAATTGCTAATCTTTAGAACTTTTGGCGATCTGTCACACACTCATATTATACTTACTTTCTTCGCGAAGAGCATTATGGTATGTTATAACTCAGGCCGGAATGATGTCAAAATTCAGGAAATGGCACTTGGGAGAACCTAAATTTGCAAAATTTCCCGGGGGCATGCCCCCTGCCCCCCCCTAGAAGCTCGCGCCTTTGGCACTAATAATTACTCCCTATTTTCCATCACATGGGGTTGGAATCTCTGCAACTCGAAGCTTTTCACTCTCCACCCGCTCCACCTCGAGGTCTTATACAGTAACTTTTATTGACAAATGGTACCCCCTTCACATATTACCTGGTTTAGAACTTATGCAAAACTGCTGTAAATGCACTGTCTGTAAAGTATGAATAAACCACAAAATCAGAACATTTTCTTGACTTTTTCACAGCCATAAAGTGCTGTCTGTTAGCCCTTTTGGGCCTTTCTACAGCATACATGCCAGATATGGCACCGATCTCCGGCTCTCTCGTACAGGTCACCATATCTCTCAGATAAAATCATCTTTTGACCTTTTCTGTGCCTTTTTAGCTCAAAACTTGAATTTTTCTTCTTCATCATACGGTTACTGGGGCATTTTTGCACGTATTTAGTCACTGACAAAGATTATTTCTGGCATCAAAACGATGATTGCGAATTTTGGCTGTATGTATTCATGTAAGACTTCATGCAATGTCCAAAGTCATTCTCATTGGGGGCTGGGTCAATTTGTCAGGGGGGGTGGGGGATGGAGTCTGTTGAAATTCTGGTGGAGGGGTTGTGAAAAAAAGGGAGTCTCCAGATTTTAGATCTCCAGATGTTGGCGTCTCTGCTACAGACCTCAATGACAGAATTCCGAGATCCCTACCCTTCATATACCTAAACCCTGAAAAAGGTACCCCTTTTGTGTGGAACTTCCTCATATAGGCCATCATAAGCAGTACTCCCTCAAGTTGTAGACAAAGCACTGTATCCTTAGCCCTTAAATATAGCTGTCTCTCATCCTTCCCTGCTTCCAGGATGTTTTGTGAGATATATGGCTACGTTTCCATGTTAGAAATTCCATTAGGCTGTTTCTCATAGCTGGACAGATGTCGTAATCAGAAGTGTAGAACATTACGATCTAGTGAAAACAGTATTCTGATTCCACTTATGACTCCTAAAAACAAGTATGATGCTGGTCACTGTTGGACGTGAAAAGTGAAGGTTACTATCATTCGTACAGGAAATTTTACAAAACTGCTTTCTTTCTTATTTGATAGCCTCCATAAGTCCAGGGAACCTTCGATCTCAGACTTCCCGAAGTCCTCATATTTCAGCTATGGCTTGGGATAAACTCAGCCCTGTGAAAACTGTTGGCATGGCAACTAGTGTTCCCTCAAGTCAGGCATCACCTGCTCTTGTTAATGCATTGTTTGAAAGGGTTGAGGAACAAGCTGAGGTGAGAACTTTTACATTAGAGAGATTAAGATTCACATTTGCGCCAAACGACAAAATGTGAATTTGTACCACATGAGTAAGTTTTCCCCTTATTTTCCGTTTACTGTTTATTGCTTCTACACAAAAATAAGTAGTTTTATGCCAGTTTTATCCTTAAGAATCATTCTGGACTGTTTTTATCTGGTTATTTTTTATTCTGAGAAATTCTCAACTGACGTTTGCCGTATGCCGTAAACGTGAATCTCTAATAATAAAAAAATAATGATAACGATAATAATAATGGTAATAATAATATATTCAGGGAGGCCCTCACTTAGATTAGACAATATTAAAATAATTTTTTCTACATGTTTAAACTTAAGGTACTGTAAAACGAGCAATAAAAAACATTCAACTTGTCTAAGTTGCAATATTTGCTGCAAAACAAGTTGAATACCGATGTTCAGCGTGCAAAGAAATTAGCGTCTGATAGCCCGGGGCTAGTGGATTTTGCTATCGGGCTAGTGAATTCTGTTCTTAACTTGCCCGATGGGTAAGTGAAGATTTTTGAGGAATTCAAATTACATAAGAACTGTGTTATCAATCCTGCTTATCAAAACGATTTTGGGGCTAGTTGAAATGAATTTTGGGCTAGTGCATGCCAGCTACAGCTTGCCCAAATGGCAACCTGTAAAACTGACTTTCTTTGCACCCTGGATGTTGCACTTTTTACCACCTACATCAAATCTGTCTTTCAACAAATAAGGTTGTTATCAGGTTTGACCGTGGTTGGTAAGATGCGCAGCATCACTTTTCAACTCATTTTGTTGCAGTGTTGTAAAACAAGTGCCCTTTTTGTTGCTTATTCTACCCACAGCTTTAATAATACAATCAAAATTTAAAACTCAACTGTCATGCAAATGTTGAAGGCTAAAATAAAGAGTCTTACAAACTAAAAATGTCTGGCAATTTGTGTGTATGTCCAGCTTAAAAATTTGTAAATTTATGTATTAAATGTGTAACCTACTATTGCATTTTAGCTAGTGAGTCATTTAAGTGACACCGTCAGGGGACTTGAGAAAGAGAGAGAAACTCATGCTGTAGAGATCAAGAGAATGAGAGGTACATTCTTGTAACATATTACAGCTCCATTTACTATCAAAGTTACAAAACATTTAGCACTCCCCCTCTCCCTGAAAAAAGATCATTCACATTTGAATTTTTACTTAGCTCATGTGACCATTCCAAGTGCCCTGTTTGGTGTGTAACTTTCCTTCCCTTCTTAGAAAGGCAATAACAACAGTTAAAATGCTCTAAAGCTGCCTGGACAGGACTCTGTTGAAATACACCTGTATCTCTCTTCAGCTCAAATTATCATTATTAAATAGTGACTTCCTTGATTTGCCATGGCTGAAAAGTTCTTCTGCAAGCATTTGTGATCTTTTTTAAACTGCAAAACATTTTTTTGCCTCTCCAAAAAGGAAGGAAAGTCTTGTGACCAAATGGGGCGCTCAGAATCTGAACCTGTTGGCAAAACGGTCAGCAAGTGGTCCGGGGAAAAATCACCAACAGTTTTAAACTGAAATCAATTTTGACCCGGAACATGTGTCTTATCTGAGAAATACTTTCTACTCACTTTCTTAATTGGTTTATCACATAAGGCTTACTGTCCTTTTCTCCTTGGGAACATAGACATATTTTTCAGTGATGCAAGGGACAGCAAGATGCCAATATCTGTTTTACGTAATAAATTTTCTTACTCAGATGAAATAAACAGACTGAATGAAAGGCTAAGAGAAAAGGGAGTAGACATTGAAACAGAACGAAAGTTAGAGCAAGTGAGTATTAAAAGAAAGATTGCTAAATCTCTTTCATTGTGCTTTAATTCAGTCCTTTACTTACATGTACAGCATTATGTTAAGTAGCTCTGGGCAATAACTTTTCAGCTGAAGGAGTGTGAAATAAGTAATTCTTGATGCACTGTCAAATTTTCTCCAGTTCCACAAGCAAGTATGTTGAACAGCACCTCAGAAAAGCAACCATTTTATGTGTTGTAGCTCTCAAGAAGTTTTAATTTTTGACTGTGTTAATTTTTTATCAATGAAAATTTAATTTGAACCCTACCTGAAGAATCTTTTCTCACAGCTAGATTATAGTGACAAAATGGTTTAGAATAATAATGGAGACTCATCTAATCATGTGTTTCAAATGATATTATTATTGTTGTTTTTCTTTGGTAGTTTAAGCAAGATGTATATAGCCAGCTGGAATTTGTCCAAAGCCAATCCAAGTTAAGACAGAGTGCAAGTGAAAACTCCCATCGCAGTGATCCATCTGTCATCAATGAAGCATTAGTGTTAACAAACTTCAACCTGTAAATCACTGAAAAGAATTGTTGAGTTTTAAGTTAATTAAAAAAATGTTAACAGTATTTTTTAATGACAATGTCCATTTTGATGGCAACAAGATATGAATAACACAACTTTCATAATCGTTTTTTAGGAGAAGAGTTATAGAAGATGAGACAGAATCTTTACAAAGAGATATTGAACATCTTAAAACAAAGATGGGTAAGCAAAACTTATTTTTTCATCATAATTAATCAATCAGTCAGTCATTGAATTAAAAGTAAGTGAGCGAGTTAGTGTGTCTGTCAGTCAGTCAGTCAATCAGACAGTCAGTCACTCAGTGACCTCAGACAAGTGAGAGTGTCTGTCAGTTAGTCAATCAGATAGTGAGTCACCCAATGAACTCAGACAGTAAGTTACATTGTATGAAATCAGTCAGTTGTAAGATACCAGTGTGTTGCCGTAGTTATTTTCATGCGTGGAAACAACACTTTTGTTGCGTTGTGAGAACGCAATGACGTTTTTCAAAGCAACCGCGAAGTGTGGTCGGGGCCTTAATATTGGAAGTAAAATTATTGCCAGTGGTTTAACGCGCATCAATCACAGTGTGAAAAAATAAAACGTGATTGAAGAGTTCAAAAGATCGGCGATTCAGTTTTAATTATATAACTAATAAAGTTTTAGAATTATTCTACGATATGAATGTTGTTGTACTAATGACTGAATATTTTTCGTGGCGGTGTTCATGGTCCAAAAAAAAAAAAAGAAAGAAAGAAAGAAAGAAAGAAAGAAAGAAAAGCTAAAACATTGACTCGAACAATTAACGGTATGACAATATCAGGGGCTTTTTTCTTGAGCTGTTTCATGTGAAATGATGAAAACCCTTCTAAAAAATTACAGTTAAAGTTTAAAGTAACATCTCAATGCAAATTGTTGAATCTGACCCTTCTAAGTGTTGAAGAGAAAGCCGGAACGCGCGCGAGCGAAAGGAAGAGCGTCCCTATCTTGGAGCAAGAGAAACGCTTCAACGAAAAACGTTAGAATGGGATAATTTATCTTTCCAATACATTTCCCCCACTTCCTAACAAAGACTTACGAATTACTCATCGTTGGTATCGATGTCGAGCTCGGTTTCCCAGGAACAAATATTGATCCACGAAGTTCACACATGACACGCGTCCTGTATAGCTAAGATCGACAATTTCGATCGTGTCATGTTTGTAAATAGTATAAGAAACATGGTAAATGTTTAGCACGGCAATAATTTTTTTTTTGTTAAATTAGTTCGACCATAATATATAGATTTAGAAGCAGAGCTCGCATTTTCCCCCCGCATGTCTTAAGGGCATAACGCCTTGCCCCGGCCAGGACTAGAACCCGGGTCATCCGACTCGGAGCTAAATGCACTGGCCACTAGACTACTGGACAAAGCCGTGGCGTTGGTATGCCCGCGGTACAGTTGACCACGCATGTTAAAAGTAGCATCTTGTACGGTCGTAGGGTCGTAAGTCCAAATTTTTTCGGCTTGATGGGTTACTAGTATTTGGTATAATTATGGGGCTACGCTCTGCGAGCTCCGCTATTATGTTAAAAGTAGGTTTCAGGCCAGCACGCTTAAATACAAGTTTTTATAATCGAAGCGAAGATAAGCATGTAACTTAAATCTCACGTTTACTCTACCTAGCAATATAAAGGCCGCGATTGGATAAAACTTCAAAAGAGAGGTTTAAGAGAGTTATTCGGAATTAGGATTTAAATGAAGCAGAATTTGCATTGTAGCCAGAAGATAAAATCATTGTCCTGTATTCGACAATAATAGATGTTTCTTCCTCCAGTGACATGTTCAAATAAGATTCATCATCTTCAGTAGCGAGGACTGGCACTAATTCATTAACAGCTTCTTCAACATCTGGATCTTGGTCCTCTTCATCTTCGCTTTCTGAGCCGTTGCCTGAAACACGAAAGAGAAAAAAATCATCGGAGGGAACGCTACTATGCGCGACC